TAAATTGAAGCAATAGAAAAGTCACCTGATTTCTCAGGAAAGACCTTCATTATGTTTGAATAACAACTGCCAATACGCCACTCTTTAAAAGCAGCATTTGTTACTCTGAAGTGTCATTACAGTGCACTTCCTCCAAAGTAAGTTTTGCATCTTAGAACTTTGCCTCCAAATTGTATTCAAACCTGAAATGTGTTCAAATAACTGCATATCTGCTATAATCAAGTTGATCAGACATTTTTTTCAATATGATATCAACATGCCGAAGGTCTTCCTAATATGTTATCTTGGAAGGTTAAATAAAAGCAAATTTAGTAACACTGAACAATTACCGAAAACTTTGGCTATTTATGTACTTGCATTACATACCAGCATTTTTTTTTTTAAAACACAATGGCATTAAGATACTCTTATTATAAGGTATTATTTTCAAAAAAAGTTAGACTGAGAAGCTATTCTCTCCCAGGCAAGTTTACCCAACCGTAACGAGAGCACCAAAGCGGTGTACGATTACAGTTGTCTCTAAAAGACCGTGTCTAGAAAAAGTCTCCAGTGTAGGAAGTTAGACACTCACTACAACATAACTTGCTTTGTCTCTTGACTTGGTACTATATATATATGTGTGTGTATATATATATAAGAAATGCAATTCTGTTCTGGAAAGAGTAACTGAAAATGTTATCTCTGCTACTTTCAATGTAATTTTTACCACTGACGGTTCTACTAAAATTACAGGAAAGTAAAATGGAATCCATTCCAGAGTTGAAGAGTAAGTTAACTGACATGACTGTCTGCTCAGTCTGCCCCAAGCAGAGATGTCAGAGCTGCTGTCGTACAAAAAACACCGCAGACATCCTGCCGATTTGCAAAGAACCCAGGTTCACCTAAAAATTCAATTGAGGAGTAAACACTAAAGGCATCAGAAAAAGTCACTTTCCAAAACAGATGTGCACTTTTTAAAAATAAACAGGCCAACTGTCACACCTTACCGCAGCTGATTAGGTTGCTTAAGTTCTCTAAAATTTAACTTAAACTTCCCTCCCCTGACTCTCTCTGAGCCATAGACAAAAAGCTGCAAGGACCAGATTCTCAGCCGGTGTAAGTTAGACCAGTTGCAGTGAAGCCAACAGATCTCTTCTGATTTACAAGCTTCTGGCATACGATTCAAATCTGCCATCGGCTCGCTCAAAGATTCTCAAAATTCCCAAGACAAAGTCTCACGCTGGTTAATGATCCCTATTCAGAGTCATTTCAGTCCCAGATTAATTCCAGCTGTCCTAATATACATTAGAGGAGACAACCACTATCCTTACCATACATGTTGCTAGAATTTTCCCATTTATTCATCTCTATGATTAAGAATATACTTCTCTAAAAATGGGATGGGGGGGGGGGGGGGGGGAATA